ACTTTTTAAAAAGTTTGGGAGTATAATTACAATTTATTTTTTATATTTCTTTTCATTTTATTTGTTTTATTTAAATTTGAGGGTATAATGGTCATTTTACACTGAAAAATAGCGAAAATGATGTTTTTCACACTAAAACGTCGAAATATGGCAAAAATGCAAAAAAAATGAAACGTTGGGACGTTTTGCACACTAACTATCAAACGTAGGGACGTTTTGTGCTAATAAGCCATTTCAAATTTAAGAACTTAAATTTCAAATTTCAAAATTCAGATTTTTTTAAATTTTATTTATAAAATAATTAATTAAACATATATTTTATTAATTAAATACATTAAGGTCACAGTTCCATATAATTTGATTACAAATTCTATATAATTGATCACATATTATTAATTTGTCACAAATCACAAATTTTACATGTCAAATTTTTTTTTTTTGCTGTCACAATTTGTTCATCAGTCACAAATAAAAAATTGAAACATCACAAATTATTTTATGGTCACAATTCAAAAATTTTATATATCACAATTTGTTTATCGCTCACAAATCAAAAATTTTATAAGCCACAAATTATTTTACAGTCACAAATCAGAAATTTTATATGTCACAATTCAGAAATTTTATAACTCACAATTTGTTCATCGGTCACAAATAAAAGAATTTATACCTCACAACTTATTTATCGATCACAAATCACAAATATTATAAGTCACAACTTAATAGACAGTCACAAATTGTCAAATTATCGATCACAAATTAACAATTTTTTAGGTCACATTATTTCTTGGTCACAATTTATATTTTTCATTGATCACATATTATTTATCGATCAAAAATTAATGAATTTAATGGTCACAAACGACCAAATAATCTGTTACCACAACCAATACTTGTGACCACCACCAAAACTTGTGGCCATCACCTCATCATTCCATCCAATAGCACCATCACCATCGTCGCCGCCAGAACCACCATCGTAACCTCCCGACCAAAACATACCACAAATCTGATTCGCTTGCAGAACTACCACATCACCACACACATTGTCACTAACCCCACCCCATTATAGCTATATGACTTTCAAACATATTTCAAACTTTTCTAGTGTTCGCCCCCTGCACTAGCCATTGTAATTTCCTGCTTTCAATCAATTGTAATTTCAAGCTTTCTAGTAATCTGTGATCAAGTTTAATTCTATGCATTTCAATTTCGTGTTGTAAGNACTTTTGTCCCGAGACGGACCGAGAAAAGGCGGAAGGGCTCCAACCACCACCACCTCAACCCATACCTACAGGCTACAACTCCAACCAACCACAACTGCACCATCATTGCCTGCACCAGCAGCCACCACCGCCTACAACAGTAACTACCACTTGCTAAAATTCACCATCTCTTCCACCTCTACTATACCACACCACAGCCACTAACAAAATCCCCAAACTCGCCACCACCATCTACACTTTCAATACACTACAAATCAACCTCCAACTCCAGCGAACAAATATGCATCAGTTGATTCCATGATCGTTGCACAGAATGATGTGCTCACTACGCCCCAGTAAGTCCCGATGAAATGGGGATGGTGCTCAGGGGCTAGTCCTTTGGCCAATGGCAACACTGCGAGAGCATAACCACAAGCATCTGCTAACGGAGAGGGGAGAGAGAGCAGCGACAACAAGTGCTGTGCGCGAAAGTCGCGACGCCGCACGAGGCACCGTTGCCAAAGCCGGAGCAGGCTTTATTTTACCTGTTGACTCAGAGCCGTCGGCGGGAGAGGGGGAGAGAGAAGGAAGATAAGGGTATTTGTTTGGGATTTTAAGATTTTTAGGGTTTGGATAATATTAAAGATTTGAATTAATGTCTGATTTTTGTATAAATAAACTTTGGATCTGATTTTTGAAATTGAATTTTTAAAATTATGATTTTGTGTAATTTCCACTTGTTTTATACCCTCGTTCCAGGCAGTTTTTCACTCTGACCAAATCAAAACATTGATCCAAGGCGTGCATTCTATGAAACTAACAATACAAAATGCAGTTTTCCTGTTCATGCATGACTCTCTCTCTCTCTCTCTCTCGCGCGCGCGCCAACACAAACCAAAAACGCATGCAAAAACAAGTCAAAACTCGTTGAAAAACAATACAAAATGAATCTGCATAGAAGAGATTTTTTGCAGTTTCCATGAAAAATGAAGGTGGTTGCAGAGATAATGACAGGAAAACTGTTCTACGTACATGTAGAAGACAATTCCACAGTAGCAGATCTGAAGAGAGAAATAGGAATTCAAGAAAACCTACCCAGTGATCGACTCATTCTGATGCTCAACGATAATCCCAGACGTCTGATGGACAAAAATGACGTCTCTCTCACGGTGTATGGAGTTCAAGATGGGTCCCATATCTATATTTTCTTTGATACTCTTGATGATGATTCCAGTAACATTTTCTCAAATCAAGATCCTGTCTTGAATCCAGGTTCATCTCCAGAAGAGAAAAAAAAATGAATGAATGAAAACCAATATGGGTTATAGAGGAATTCAAAAAATTATATATGAGGTATAAACAATGGTTAGTCGTCAGTTAAACAAATGTAGCAGCATATGAAAAAGACTGGAAAATACAATAAACGATAGGTTAGATTTTCTTTTCTACTCTCATAATGTACTATCCAGTCCAGCTTACCACACATTAGTAATGTTTGGCACTACATTCTTGCAAATCCTACTAAATTTCTGAGTAAGTTATATCGAGTTCTTTTATTATTTCATTTTAGAATCTATGAGCGAACAAGACATATATAGTACAATTATATACTTCACATATGATTTGAAATGCAGTACTGGGCAATACCATACAAGACAATGGGAAATTTCATCTTTTCTTTCTTTATCATGTCTGGTGTCGTTCGATCCACTATTCATAATAGGACATTATAGTCCTAAGCTAACAAATATGTCTCAACTCTCAACTAGCACTCTCGTACAATCGTGATTATACGGATAACTACAAGCATTTGGACTTCATTAATACAGAGAAGAATTAAGATTGAACATTGTTAAGCCAGCTAACAAATATGTCTCAACTCTCAACTAGCACTCTTGTACAATCGTGATTATACGGATAACTACAAGCATTTGGACTTCATTAATACAGAGAAGAATTAAGATTGAACATTGTTAAGCCAAACAAGCATAGACCTGGAGATTCCTAAATAGGGCAACCTTTTGAACTACTGTCAAATCCACAGGTAGGCATGAAACAAACTGGCGAACATATCCATTTTCCGAGTTAGTTGCTACTAGTACTCGTAGTTCTTACAAAGGATCAACTAAGAACACATATAATACTAGAATCTAAGTATTCATACATAGGTTCTTTGTCAATGTATCTAAAAGATACATAGTAATAGATAATGGAAGATAAATTCTCCCTATACTATACAATGACATATCGGGCACATGTCATTATTCTTCTTTATTATAAACAGAACATAAAAATGATTTGTGGTCCCCAATCAGAATCTCGTGCCTAAATGAATTATGTCCCAAATATAAGATAGGTTACACGAATATCTTCGGTTCATTGCTAGATTTAGTAATATCATGCCTAGACGAATTCAATTCTCACTTCCTGTGCAAAACGAACATCAGCGTTCGCTCCACGAATTATTCTTAGCTGCCCAATGGACATGTCAGACCAAAGTAAGCTCCCCTACCTCCTACACAGCGCGGTAAGCAGAAAACGAAACTTCATTGTCTCCATAGAAAAATAATTGCAATAAAAAGAAGAGAACAAGACTTGCAATACTAAATGAGAACAAGCCACATTAAAACATTCGAGCGTAACATTCGAGCGTGTTTGTGCATGAACAAATTAATATTATAAACCAAGCATATATTACTCAGAAACCTATACAAAAAAATTATAAAAAAGCGAAGACAACAGGTGGATTAACTCTCCATTCTACCGTGTGATTCTATGTACAGCTGTTTGATTTGTATGTAAAAGCACTATAGCTCTAAATTCATATATACAACAAACTAAATACCAAGAGTGGCATCAGCATTCACAGTAAACAGTCAACGAGAAATAACCTTGTGCTAAGATGTGTATACAAAACTTTCAGCATTTCCCAACAGAAAGCAATCCATTTTTTTTGTTGGAAATGATAAAATAACCCACATCCAGTTACAGGCTCTAACTAGAGCAACCAAGGCTTTCCTGCACAATGAAAAATGCCAACCATCACAATTTAATCATGATAATAGGGTACTGAAGAAAGGTTGAGAGAACGAAGAAAAAATACTACTTCTTTCAAAATCTAAAAAGATTACTCAAAAATAATTCAAACATGGTATTATGAAGTCAACTTTTGCTTGAGGCTAAGTTGACAACTTACCCCAAGTATCGGCAAATGGATGAAAAATGTATCAACATATTGCAGCAGAAACAAATACAAGAACTTCTCAAAATGCCAATGTACATTACTATGAACCTGTGAAGTACAGTCTGGAGAAACATAGGGATATAGCTGAAAGCAGGAATTAACGATAAATGGTAGTTAAGAGAACTGTTTGTCATTCCATGGGTGATGGGACCCTCAGTTTCAATTAAATGTTTTTTTTTATCATTATGATACTGAATTGTTCTAACAAGAGTCTAGAAACTCTTACACTAAACAGAGAGAATGAAAAAGAAAAAGAACAAGAACAAGGAAAAAATACTTCTCTCATTTCGATTTAAATAAAACCATAATGGAGGAATACTATGAGTCCATTTATGAAACACCAGAAATGGCCCGACTCTTGTAGATGTAACGGACGTATTTGACAGGGATATATGGGAATCAATTTAAGGATATATCCAAGAATGAAAGTGCAAAAACTTGGAACCGAATTGAACTTAAATCCCTGCAGGTCGGTGACAGAGAACGAAAATCTCTATGCTCCATACACAAAAGACATATAGCACAGGTACATATACACGCATATATACAGAGGGAGGGAGTTTATACTTTGTCGTTGTTGGTAATATATGAAACCACTACAGTGATGTCATCAAGCTTTCCACCATTATATCGGAACCCTGCTACTTGGGCTGCAGCAGAAAATGGTGTCTGCCTGTCTTTGTCCTGTGCTCGTTGATGTGCCAATGCTGCTATCTTCTGTGCTGCAAACTGAGGCCCTAATCCTGATCTCACAGCTTGAACCACTACAGTAATAATGTCATTGTTATACAAATTGTCGAACAGCCCGTCAGTCCCAGCAATGATAACATCTCCTGGAGCAACAGAAATGATAGACACCTGCAGCGCACAAGCAGGCATTGATCAGCTTTTGTAATTTAGACTTTAGACAGAGATAATAGCATAAAACGTGGTCAGAATAATAGGCCTTGAAGGAAGGCAGCATTCAAAAATCTGTTTGAGGAAAAACCGTTTGTTCAAATGTCAGCCTGATAATTTCCATGAACAGAAGTTATTACCGAAAACATCTGGATGTTCCAATACTTTAAACAAGAGATCAAGCACATTATCCTGTGAAGAGTATTCGAAGCTATAAATAGGCAGCCGTTCCATGTTTGATCATCAATGAAAGAAAATGTTTCATCTAGTTTTCTAGACAATCTTACCGAACATGTTCATGCGGGAAAAACGTTTTCTAGACAATCTAACCGAACATTTTCATAAGAAAAAATGCTTGAATTGTAAACCAATTAGACAGCTTAACAATCAGAGAGTGAGGCCTTCTAGACAAATTCCTTCATGCAATCACTTTGACAGGCCTTACCTCATCAGCATCCTTGACAGTAAGCATGAACAGATACAAGTTCAATTTTTTAAGAAACAAGGAATATACTTTTTTGAGATGTGGTAGTAATTCTCTATCCACAGTCCACTAGTCAAATATTGCACTAAATAAAGCAGAAAGGAAGTATGAAGGAAATGGGACTTAACTGACCTGTCCAGAGCTAGGCAAATCTCCACCATTACCACTCTTCAGCTGATACGGGTAATTGAACTCATGCTGCTGAACTAGGGATCTGAAAACCATACAGCCATCTCTAACCACCATAAACCCACTATCCCCTAAATTAATGGCATGAAGACCCTGTAAAGAAAGGAAGTATGATTAGTGTAAACTATGCAAACTTAGGCACATCAAGTTCTTTTGATTACTACTGAAAAAGGTAAAATATTGTCAAACATTCAGAAAACAATAAGAGTTCGAAAATAAAGAAAAATAAAATTCTTAAATTTAATCAAGTAAAACTTGAATAATAAATATCTTATGTCAAGTTTATTGATCCTTGACGGCCTTTTATTTGTGGTATAGTAACACAAGTCGACTATAAGATACCTGCTCTGTGAGAGCAATAATACAAGCAGTAGATGACCCTCTGAATTTCGTTCTTATGTAAGCTTTCTCCAGGACTCTGGCTGGGTCAATGGAACCACTTCGTTCTTCTTGGATTGCATAAACAGAATTGGACATGAGCTCACGAGCATAATGTCCTGAATCAACATCAGGATCAGCCCATCCACCAACACCGTCAGCTACCCCAATGGCTTGTTCATCCATACAAATAAAATGAGCATCCTCTCCACCAGTTTCTTCTTTTTCAGGATGGGGCAGATAGCATGATCCCGAATTTAGTTTCAGAGTTCTGCCTGTTGGGATCTCCCTGCAATCAACAAGTGAAAAAAAATCAAAGAGATATTCCACAATAGTTTCATTTCTTTATCCAGGCTATCAAATTAAATTATTAAGTAATCACACAGAAAATTTTGTTTCCTCAAACTCTTACATGGTTTTCAAAGTACATTTTTACTAATATAATGGCAGATTTTCAGGTAAATTTGCAAGGAAAAAATGGAGAAATATGGAACGTCCCAGTACACACATGAGGTGACAGAGAAGAAGACAGATAACTAATTTAAAACTCTATCGCAACAAGGTATCATGCCCAATCTAAATTATTGTTAGAATTCCTTGGCTCTCACACCAAAAAGAAAACTAAATATCTACTCTAAAAATAAAAATAGGCTGTGATTTTTTTGTAAGTTTCATTTGATAAAGATTTATCAGCAAATTTATTCCAAGCAAACGATTCTACTGCGGCAAGCTACCATGCCTAAGCCAAAACTATTGCTTGCATACTTTAGATCTCAGAAAACACACAACATTAGGTCATATCCTAGGATAAGGCTAGGATTATCTGTAAGTTTCAATTTTATTTAAGAGGCATCAAGCAGAACAGCATATCAAATGCAACAAATATCCTCCAACAAATGTGTGTGTGTATTGTGTAGTCAATCAGTAGAAATGGGGAAAAAAAAAACTTGAGAAAGCATACAGCTTGGAGGACTCGGCAAAACTTGAATGTTGTTCCTGACACACTGAGTTATCTATGGACATATCAGGAGCAGAGCGAGCAGAGAAGCATACTGAGATGTGGAAGCCCTCGAACCCAAATTTTCGGTGTGGATTCTTCACAACACTGTGAGTGAAATATCCATAAATCAAGAAATTATTAGGCTGTTCTTTACTCCTGAAACTCATGCTAGCTTTTCTATAATTTCCAGAGCTTCTTGTGCTGCAAGTGAAAGAATGATATGCTGCCACACCAGGTTGCACACGCCTGGAAATCAGATTACTTGTAGAGCAGTCTGCGAGAAATAATCTAGATCCACAGACAGCCATAAATACCTTTTGCGGGTTGACTCCCACCATAACCTGACTAGGCTCTGATAGATGACAATCCACGTGATACCCACAAACGTGAAATGAAGGTCCTGACAAAGACGGAAATGAACGTGCACTAGAAACTGCTCCAAAAACTGGAAGATTCTTTATCCGGTTGACAGTATGTAAATTTGCCTGAGCAGCAGCAACCATGCGAGGTTGCACAAAAACATGCTGGTTAGTAAATGTTTCAGTGGGCACAGTATAGGTCATTCTTGAGTTGCCAAGCAAAGATTTCCCTAGGCCAGTCAAAACTTCTATCTGAGCTTGGACTCCAACATCTTGCCCCGATATTGATCTCCTCCCTCCCTGCTGTAATGTGCCACCAAGTCTCGAAAAATAATTACAAGGCATTTCCCTGCTTGGGTGAAACAACCACCACACCTGTTTGCTATACAATCACAATGACAAGGACATTGTCCTGCATCTATCTATTTACAGTTACGTAATCAGGATCACCTTTCCCCTTCACAATATATTACAGGAATCGAGGAACCTGATGTTAAAGACAAGAACAGAGAAAGTATAATGAGGAAATACCCAACAAACTTTGTCGGAGTGAACACAAAATATGGTAGTCACACAACAGCATCAGTTATCAGAACTCGAGTGGTAACATATGAATCCATTGGGCTCCATTTTTTATCTTCTCTATATTTAGAGAATAACAGCTTATAGAGAAGCAACGACAACTCAACAAAGCGAGTTAACAACTGCAACTACTTTCAGCTATCTATTTGCAGGACCAAGAAATAAATCCTCTTTCATAACAGTGTAAAATCTTAAAAAGGAAAAATCGGTATATATGGTTTTCAACAAAAATCATCATTAAATAAAGTTTATCTACTTGTACATAGATTTCCACCGAATGAGTTTTCCAAGTTTATAGGCATCATCTTAGCTGGATCGAAAAGCAGATTCCTTCGCGATCTAGAACCACACCAGCATCCCTTCGCCCAGCTCCATACGTAGATTCACTAGTGACCTTAGCTTGATTCCACAGGTCCTAGTGTAGATTTTCTAGTGACGGTAGCATGGGCAGCATCTTAACCAGGTCCAGAGTAGAGATATTATGTAGTATTCTTAATAAGCCACTCCCCCCGGGCACGAGGGCTCACTCAGCTCTAACTTCAGAAGCTAGAATAGCTTAAGGATCAGTTTTCTACATTCATTCAGTGGGTGCGGAACGTTACTCACGACAAGATCAAAGGAAAGGCTTTCTTCAATCGGCAAAGAGCATTCAAGGGCACAGTCTATTTTTCTTCCTTTTATTTTAAAAGTAATTTGTACTTTATTTTAAAATAAGTAATTTTTTACTTATATAAAATCTTCAGGCTGTTCATGATGAAAATATTTTTAGTTTAATTTTTTCAGATATAAAGAAAATTAAAATTAGATTGTTAGAATTTAGCCAGATTGTTAAAGCAACTCCCGAACCTAATTCCTAAGTTCACATACCTGTCGAATAAAAAGCCTGCTCTCACTTATTCTTGGCTTGGATCTAGATAATGATAGTAGGGTCGGGATATCCCTGCGCTCCGAACCAGACATGAAGGTCTACCCTAATGACAAAAATGGGTTTTGTATTCATTTTTACTTTAATCTAAAATACTAAGTCCGTGCCTGACAAAGTAAATAGAGAAGAACCAATTAACCAATAAAGAACTTGTTTAGTATTCCTTGAGATTCTATAATTTCTTAAAATCAAATAGAAAGAAACCAAGGCTAAACAAAACCGGAGGCCAATAAAATTTTTGATCAGACCATCCCCATTCACCACTCCCAAATCCTACAAGAAATGGAAAAACTTGTTAAAGAACTGTGATCCCCTGAAACTGCTAATACTGAATGAAACACTATTAAACTGTTGAAGAACGGCAAATGGAAGCAAGTTTGGTTCTTCTCATAACGAGAACTTTTCAAAATCAATTATAGAAAGATCAAATTCAACCATCATCTCATCGCTAATGCAATAGACATAATTTCAGTCCCATCAAATAGTAAAGGCTGGACACAACTAAAATCATCAAAAAACTACTTAAAAGCACAATGAAAAAAAAATACTCAAAAGTACAAAATCATCAATATGACTGATGAAAGTCGCACCTTACTATTCATAAACTGGCTAACAATATCACAAAGCTCTGCTGATCCCCCCACCGATATATAGTAACAAATACTTGGATAAAACCCCAGAAAATATTAATATTCGTGGTTCATATTCGTTTTTTTGGATTCGTAAATATTTTTGGGCATATGGTCACACGCCTCTCTCTCTCTCTCTCTCAAGATGTTGAGGGGGGGAGGGATGGCTGTTGGGGTTGCTGAAAGGACAAGTCCAAAATCTTGGTTCTGAGAGAACGGTTTGGAAGCTCAGCTAACACCTCACCACCAAACTCTAACAAAAATTACAAAATGCCTCTGATTAATTAATGAATGAAGAGTAGCGTGCTTATCACTGTAAAGACTATTTTGCCCCTCCTTGTTTTTCTTCACTTTCAATTTTTAGATTATTTGAAATTAGGATTTTGTTGTTTGTACAGAAAAAACAGCTAAAGAAGTGATCAAAGTGAACGGAAAATATTGGATAAAAAACTAACTGTATTTTAAATTGACAAATAATATAAGGGAAGAATATATAAATAAGGTATTTACTTTTACCCATTTCAAAAATATCAAAACATGTTTCAAAATTCAAAAATCAGGTTTTTTTAAATTTTTAATTATGAAATAATAATTATTAAATTAATTTATTATTAATATTTAATTCTACTATAAAATAATTAATCCACCCCCCACCCCCACCCCCACCACCCCTACAACTCCGATGATATTCCGACGACCTTTCCGGTCACCACTCTTCTCCGACGACCGTTCCGACGACTTTTTCGACGACTGATCCGATTCCGGAGAATATGTTAAGGTCACAGATCTATACAATTTGGTCACAATTCAAAATTTTTTAGATCACAATTCAAAATTTTCATAGATCACAATTTGTTCATCGATCACAACTTAAAAATTTTAAAGTCATAATTTTTTCATCGGTCACAAAATCACAAAATTTGTAAGTCACAATGGTCACAATTCAAAAATTTTATAGGTCACGATTCGTTCATCGGTCACAAATTAAAAATTTAAAAGTCACAATTGTTCATTGATCACGAATCACAAAAATTATAAGTCACACAACTTATTCTATGGTCACAAAACATCAAATTATAGGTCACATATTACTTTTATTGGTCACAAATTATTTCTATGTCACAGTTTATTATTTATTGGTACACACCAACCAATTTATTGGTCACAATTAACAAATGATTTGTGACCACCACCAACACAACACCACTGTCGTCTTCGCCGCCAACACCAACACCACCATCACCGCCAAATTCACTACCAACGCCGACAACAAAATACACATCCTCTACCCTATTGAAACCACCACAACTCCACCCAAACACGCCAAAACCGCCGCATCCTACACCATCGCCACCACCAACACCACCTCCAGCATCACACTCCACCACCAACTGTAGCGAGATCTGAATCTGTAGCCCCAGTCATCGCCGCCACCAACACCATCGCTAACACCATCACAACCATAACGAGACGACATAGATCTGGTTTTCCGGTGAGCGTATCTAGGATTGCGCATTCTCAGATCTCTTCCTCTCATGCTAGTACTATTTTCTTCGCCGAGTTCATCGTCGCCGGAGCCTTCCAAATCCACCAACGGCAGAAGAACCTGCAGCATCTGCAAGTGGGAAGACAGTTTCATGGGCCGAATCTTGCCATTAAGGAACAACTCCTCTGCAGAACTCATGGATCCATTTTCAGTCAACCCATTCGACGATAATCTTGAAGAAAACTCAAACTTGAAAGACGACCCAGATTCCGACGTTCCAAAAACTAGCGAGGAAGAAAAGGAAACTGAAGCCCCGACGTCTCAAGAAACGGTGGTGGTGGTGCCGACGATTTGAGGGAGAAGAGAGGTAGTGGTGGTGGTCGGTTGGAATGGGGGGAGAGAGAGAGAGGGGGGGAATGAAAAAATTAGGGTTTGATTTGTGTGGGATTGATTTAAATAAAAAAATTATTAAAAATTATTAATTAAAACTTGATTTATGTATTATTAAAGTTGATTCTGTATTTTTGAAAATGGTAACTTAAAAACTTTTGTAAGTGTAATTTCTTCATAATATAATATCAAGTGACATCATATAAGGTATTGTATAAGTTTTGATATACATGTAACATTATCCAATTAATTATTGGTTAAAGTTCATCATTCAAAATTTTTCCATTTTCTATAGATAAAGAAAACATTCTTATGCAATTTCAATTGAGTTTTATTGAAAATATTTTATTAAAATTACTCAACAATTTCAATAACATTTATATCTACTCCCCATTTATTATCCACACATTTCATGAAATTCACTATTATTCCTTCTAAAAAAAATCAGTATTCTATAAGACGTAATGCAGGACGATACATGAAGGTCAAGCTATGGGCTAAACGAGTTTAAGCCGTATATGTAAAAAAATGTTTTTTTTTTTATTTTAATTTTATTTTAATTTTTAATCAATCAAAAAATTATTTAATAATTAAAAATAATACATATCAAACATTTAAAATAGATTTATAGAAACTTTATACATTTTTTTTTTCAAAAGTTTCCAACAAAAACATAAGTTTCAAATGTAAATCAACTTTTAAGTTTTAAATTAAAAGAATTGTAAATAATAATAATAATAATAATAATTAAAAAAAAAGAGATAATAATAGAACATAATCGCGCCTAAACATGCATTAGCAGTCAACGATTGTCGTGACAACTAAATAAGGCACCATGCCACTTGACATGGCGTTTCCGCCACGCATCGCGCCTAGTCGACACCTTGGCAACACCTAGACACTCCTTTTAGAATACTGAAAAAAAATTAATAATTTTGGACAAACGGAGACATTACATCGGTTTGTTATAAAGAACAATACCTTACTATCATCAAGTTCCAGAACCAAGTTCTATCAACCCAAGTTTCAAATCCCTCTGAGATATATTGAGAATAATTTTGGGTTTAAGAACACGACTATTTTGCACACGATCCCAATGAGAATTGTAACCAGACAATTTGTGTGACAAAGTTCAGAAACCACGGCACGTTCTTAACAAAGCATTACATCCAAGCCATGAAAGCTCATCGAGTTGTTTCAAATAAGAACAAGGATAGAATAATTTAACATTCGTTCTCAAGTCAAAATCAAGCTTGTAATTTGATCGATTGGTGAACAATAAAAGAACTTGCTTTGCCCGCGGTTTAAAGACTATCAAATGCAAACATATTTCATCTCAAACCAAGTCGAGAATTTCTTCTCTAGATGCCTGTCAGCATACGACTACGAAAGTACCATCGATTTCAAGTACTTCAGGGAAAAAGAGTAAAAATACATATAAATGTCAAGTGAATGCAAACTATGCCACGTGTACTTCATAATTCTTCAGCCATTCCTTCCTGTTAACCTCTGTATTGATATTTCAATGCCACGCCATTCTTCACTGCAGATACCTAGAAATTTAAGAAAATGAAGGAAAAATAATGAGAAATACTGTACTATATATAAATAATATCGAATTTTGCAAGTCAATCCGCATTGCTTTAAGGGTATGTTTAGCTAAGCTTAAAAAAGAAAAGTATAAGTTAATTGTAAGTAACTTCCTCCTTCCAAACATGCTCGGACATGTTAATTTCTTAGATTAAAAGGAAAAAAGTTACTCATTTTGAAAGTAATTCATATCTTTCTATCAAAATAAGTAATTTCTGCAAGGTATAGTGTATGTTGATATTGGGCATGCAAAAGAATGGACCCTATAAACTGAGAACCTGAGAGGATCAGCCCTTTCCAGAGATCAGACTCATTCATGCAAGCACCGGTTATGATGTGTTTGGTAAAGTGGACGGGACACTACTGGATAGTATTGAAAATGAAAAGAAACTAAAATCTTATTCGTTAAAGTGTCAGGCCATCTTCAATCCTATCTAATAATGCGTATCAAGCGTGCCATTATTGTCTATATTCCAAAGAGGCAATCCACCCTAAAGCATGAATTCTACACCTCCATATCTTCGGATACAGTTTCTATTAAAATCTAAATATTAGTATTCTATCATACCAAAAATAGTAGGAAGTAAAAGATTTCTCAAAGTACCAAATTCACCGAAAAATACAGGAAAGGAGAAAAATAGCACGAGTAAAGGCACTTCTAATTAAAAAGAGAGAGAGAAAAGAGAGTGGACTTCCAGTTCTTTCTTTTCACTGTTCCTGTACTAAGGAAATTCTCGTTTTAGCAACCAATTCATTCCAACCTGAAATTTTTTCTAGATACAATACCAACAAAAGGCATTCCCTGTAGCAATATTGGAGGGATTTAAATCAAGCAAAAATTTCAAGAAAACAAAATAATAGGGAAATACGTGCACATTTAATACTAACAAAAACAACTCTAAATTTTACAAAGGACAATACGAGGACTATACTACCATGGCAAGGTTTTGCTGACACCTTGGAAAGCACAATATAGTTAGACGTCCAGTTCTTGCAAAATATCTTCACAGACTGTAAAATTGCCTACTTCCATTATCTCGACAAAACATTATTTCAACATAAATATTTGAGTGCAGAAAAGGCACAAACATGTCCACACTGAGCAAATCGTAGGATGAATGTAAGGCATGAACTATCAATATGAGATTGATGGAGATATTCAATCTGGACAGTTACACTGGCCATATCGGTGCAAGATACATGGGGGGCTGATGCAGAACAGCTATAGGAAATCTTTCAGAAAAAGTTCAAAGGTGGATTTTCATATAGATTGCCTAGAAAAAGGGTGAACAAGAATTAGGATTAAACTTGAATCGATGTGAAAGCATTTCGGGAAAAAAAAAATTCTGACCCGTTCAGGAGCTGATTAATTGTTTTAGGTTCAACACAATTACCTAAATAATTCTAGACTTCTAAGAGTAAACAATAGGATTCTAACCTTAAAACTACTCGCTATTATTTCCAAATATATATCCTATATTATTTAGGGCATGTTCTCTTCGCTGTTTTCAGACCATTTTTTGTTTTCCGTTTTCGAAAACACTGAAAACATGTGTACTTACCTATTTTCAGAAACGAATTTCCAAAAATGAGTTTAAAATTTGCAAAAAAAAGGGAAAACATCAAAAAAATCGTTTTTGCTGCTTTCAGTTAAAACCAAGCAAAAACTTCAAAACGCGGAAAACGGCTGAATTTTGCCACTAGCGGGATAGCTTAGTTGGGAAAGTCACGAATTTTCTAAAGGTCACGAGTTCGATTCCATTTCACCGTAATTCAATACAAATGAATTTTCTTTTTATATACACAGTACAAAATTTTTCAAATAAATTGGTAGGTGGCTGAGATTCGAACCCGAGTCACCAACATGGAATTCCAATGCCTTAACCACAATAGTAGCCGCTTTTGCGTTGTTATATAAGTAAAAGAAGTATATATATACTAAATAATCAGTTTTTCAAAATTAGAAAGTAAACGCATTTTTCATTTTTTTATTTTTGAAAACAATTTTTCAAAATGACAAATAGAACGCGTTTTCAACAATCTCAAAATGAACATTCAAAGTATAAAATACAAAATAAATTCAAAACTAAAAACTGAAGCATGAAGAAAATAGTCTGTCAAGTTTTCAAATAAACTAAGAGGGTGTTTGGCCCCCATTTTTAAGGAACAATTAGTTTTTAAATAGTGATTGATGGGAGAATGTGTGGTGGAAAAGTGATGAAAAGTTTTAGATTTGTGTTTAATATTATTTTATTTGGAGAATGTGTGGTTGAAAATGAGTACAGTAGAAAAATGAATGGGAAAAAAAGAGAAAGAATGGGGCTCAAACATAGGCTAAAATAACGACGACAAATCTCAATTATGGCTCAAGGACCAAAACTACTTCAAATTAGAAAATAACCAAAATGCCCTTGTCTCTGAACTTAATAAAAAGGAAGCAAAACGTAAAACAAATAGAGATGACAAATAAACCCGATACTTTCGGGCCCCGCCCCGAAAGGGGCATGGATTCCCTTGCCCTTGGGGCAGGGCGGAGGCGAGGAATATGTTACTACCCTGTTTAAAATCCTTTTCAAGATATAAGGTTGTAAGAAAAACTCATGAGCCTTTCTAAAGGGAATTTGGACAATTCTACAAATTGGAAAAGAGTAATGACTTTCACCAAGTAAAGACATGAAAAATAAAAAAATATAAATGGGCCCGCCCCTGCTTTAGCGGGGATAGGGGCCAGGCAAGGGGGAAACCGAACGGGAAGAGGGACGGGAATGACTGCACCGACCCCGACCATTCCGTCCCGTTGCCATCCTTAAAGGCGGGACACTCTAATTTTATCATTGTCACTTTCCTTCCGGCCAAATAGACTTCTTCCCATCATAGGATTCCCAATCTTCACTTGCAAATTCCAAATTTTACCATTCTTTGCTACTGAGGCTTAAAATCTTCAAGAAAGTCAAATTACTGGGCAAACTACAGACATCTAATGTTCAATAAAAAACAAAAACTGCCCTTAACTTGAGCTAATATTTATCTGTGTAAGATTTTTGTTATAGGTTGTAGTCATACTATTTTTCATTGGCAATTTTTAGTGACCCTGCAGGCATTGGTGATCAAGTAGAAGCAGCGATTAGATCTTGCATTGGATTGGATGTTTTCCTTGCAGTCATATTATATTC